ATAGTATACGAACACCTACAAACAATTAGAATGTTCGTTATTCAAATTCTCAAACTCAGTAATTAAACATAAATCAGTTATTACGTATATCGTAATTTTGTGATCAAATATTGTTATAGCATGACGATAATAGAAAAGTGGCTAACTTTAATTAGTGTTAATTACCAACAAAATGTATGTGGTAATTATCTATTGTTGGCGTTTTTGCGAGCTTTTAAACGCATGACGTGTGTGACAACATATAAACAAAAAAGACATAATATACATGTTCAATTCATATATAAAATAAAAACGACATTTCAAAATATTGAAAGGTATATTGATAAAGTTCTCGGAAAAGTGAACATACATAGAAAGATGAGAAGGTTTGACATGAAAAAAGAAAAGCGTCTTTAAGTTAGACAAGAAATGATTGCCTCATGATCGTAAACCAAACAAGGATACATACATATATATATACATATATATATATAGATATACATATATATATATATAGATATACATATATATATATATACAGTTTGTAACACCTTGAATAAGTTGTCATTAGGCAAATCATCCTTGGCTACCTAATAAGAACGCTCTTCGTTTCATATACGAAACCTCTCATTTGGTAGCCTAATCGTCTGACCCACATGCTACTTGTTTGCGGGAAACAACCTATTTATAGATATATAATCGAATATCGTCATATAATCAGACAAATGTTTTATTTTCCTCTTTCCGAGCTAGTGTATACCATATATATATTCCAACTTAGAAAGACCGAACATATCCATATTAACCTGGTAGATTAGCAACGATAGCAAAAGATTCTTAAGCACGTGCTATCGACTTCTTCATGATCCGATCTGGTTGCTAAACAAGTTGAATGAAGAACTTCTACCGTCTTTTTAGTATAAAGAAATGAGAATATAATATAAGAGGACAACTACACATGGATAAATGTTCTTTCATTTAGTGGCCAAAGCCTTGTATAGGACTAAAGAAGTGAGTTGACTTTGGCAGTAGTGTCAAAGTATATATGGAGAATCATATATTATATAGGGTTCATTTGTCAATCAGTGCTTATTTGGTTCAGCTTTTCATTCCACTCTATATATATTTATGGCTTCCAACCTTAATCACAGACCTTTCCAATAAGTTGGCACCTTTTAATTTCCTTTTATATAAGTCAACTTAACTTACTGAAAAATATCTGGTTTCTTTTATTCAAGTTATACGACGCAAATTGAAAAGAACATATCTTGATGTTGATGTGTATGAGGTGAGAATTAATAGGTAGGGCTTTATTTAGAGTAATTACAGTAGTTATGCTAAAATTTATCTAAAATAAAGTATCTAACACCAATAGCTACTCTATTTTAGCATTTTTAGTATTATTATATTATTAAAATATTCAACACATCTAATAAAATATCATTTATCTCTCCTAAACATTTACTATTAATATATCTTTTTGATAGAAAATATTAAAAATAATAATTTCTCTCACTTTTTAGAGATTTATCTAAATTTAAAGATTTTTACAATCTCTTTCTTCTTTTTTCTATTTTAGTATACAAGATAACATAGCTGTTAAAGCAAAAAATTGCTATTTCTTTATTTTAGCATAGTCAATGGCGGATACAAGGTAAAGCCATAGGGGGCAGAGGCCCCAACAAACCAATAAGAAACCCACAAGAAAGAACATTATTTATAGTTTTCAATATATTTTTTAAACTAGAATTACAAATAGGCCCCCAATAATTAAAAGACAAATCCCCATATCTAATCCCTACCATTTTATTTACAACTTTTATTTTATTTTATTTCAAGAAGTTACCAATTTAGAAATCAGTTAAACTCTAATGTCCCTAATTTCTAAGTATTAACTCATTGAAAGTCATTATATTTGTCTTGTTTTATTTGCTATAATTCTAATAATTTGATCCATCACTATTTTTTTGTTTTTTTTTTCCAACTTTCTTTTTGTATTTTATTTTTTATATATTTATAATTATTGTTATTTGTTGATTATTAATTTTCTATTTCTTGATATTTGATTTAGGATTCTTGAGTTTGTTTTTTAATTTGAGTTTGTTATTTTGATATAGGGTTTACTACTAGTTTATCTTTTATTTATAGCATATTGGTCTTTTGCTCTTAATTTCTTCTAATTTAATTTAATTTCTTATCCTCTGATTTCTTGCTATTGACTATTAATATGTACTGTGTTCATTTGTTTTAAGTTGAACCGAAATAAAAATATATGTATAATGTCTCTGTTTATCCAAAATAGTAAAAATTAATCAAAAAAACAGAAAAATATATATATTTATTTGATTAAACTAAATAGTTTAAGCCAACAACGAATAACCCAAAATCGTCTTGGTTCGGATGAGCTATTCAGTTTCAGAATTTTTTTGACACGCCCAATTCCCCAACTCCCTAAGTTTGCCCCCAATAATAAAATTTTCTGGATCCGCCACTGAGCATAGTTGTTGGAAATGTTTTTAGCCTACCCCTTCTAATCTTGTGTTGGACTTTAGATCTCACACTAGGTTATTAGAGCATCCATCTCTAATAGATCATTTAAATTTGGAGATTATAACCTTAATTATATCTATACTATATTATAAAGCATTGCGTGAGTACCTTTCTAGTTCGTACTCTTTTTAATGCTTTCTCTGTTTTGAATATTCTTTTTTGAGAATCCATTGGAGCAAATATTTCGTCAAAATCTTCATTTTCTCAATTTTAAAGAATTTGCTAGAGATGTTGTTAATTAAATGGTTAATTAATTAACTTCGAAAGGTAATATTTAAAAAACGATTTCAATTCGAAACACATATAAAATCGGCATATATCAACCAAAAGATTGAGTTTTAATTTGATATATCTAATATTCCAGACACTCTTTGAATGTGATCTTTCAAAATTTACATATATGATGCTTATTTACATTCCTTGTGAAGTAAAAAGGTAAGCCATTTTAGCATATCACATGTTTTTTGTGGGTTCATCTCCTTTGTATTTCATAAGTCAATCAATACCTTAAATGGACAAGCAAGTCATATATAGGAAGAGAGAAAACTTTAGTTTCAAACTGATTTTTTATTGTGAATCAAGGGACAAAGGAGAGCATGACACTTGTCCCCGATGTCCACATTCAATATGCATAACAAAGGGCATTCAATATGAATAACGAAGGTGAACGCTTATAAACTATCATGATGAATAATATAACATTTATGATGAATAATACACGATCATAATCCATGTTAAACTGATTCACCATTCATGATGAATAATACATATTCATCATGAATAATATATATTCATCATGTATGATACATTATTCATGATGAATAACTCGTGAAGTATGAGACACGTGTCGCACTCTCCTTTGTCCCTCTGTTTACAACCGAAAATCGGTATTCATTTGAACACGCCCTTTCCTATCGGCAAGTTCTGACCCTTTTGTTCGAATTTTCTTCGCTCGTACCGAACCGCTTGCAGAATCAAATCACCTATATATAGGGATTTGATCATTTAAAAATCATCATACTATATATATATATATATATATATTAAGTTAAATTAATTTCTTTAACAGTTTAATATGTTCGACTCCTCGTATTACCTTTTGAAAGATATAAAGGGCAAGCAACTTGCCTGCATAAGTATAAGAACAATGACATATTTTGATGCTTTTCATCAAACCATTTGACTATTTAGGGTTTCAGATTATTCTGTTTCAATTCCATCAAATATATATGGTCCATAAATGGTACTATAAAGAGAATATATTCTCTTGAAGATCTAATACCCATGTCAAATTGAATAAACAGTCAATGAGCATACAAAATGATCCAAAATTGTTTCATCATCCTATAAATACCAGCTACGGAACGTCTGATAAAATATATAGCCATCAATAAGAATGAAAATCTCTATCGATCGTTCAGTTTGGTCAAGTCTTGTACATGTTCATATCATCAAGATCATGGGTTCAATTTTCTTGCCTTTGAGAAATACAACTATTCAAGGAATGGAGGTCCTTACATGAAGAGAATAGGTGTTGTTTAGTAGCCAAGGATGACTTGCCAGCTCCATTACGAGTGATTCGTCCATGTCTTTTTAGATTTCTGATCTTTCGGTTGGTTTCTGGCAACAATCTAGGCTATCTTGACAAGCTCTTCTCTTTCATGCTAGGGCTTCTCTTCCTTCTGCAAAGATGCCAAAGACGAGTTCAGGGTTTACAATTAATCATACCTGCCTCACTTCAAAAGACGTGACCGTTGATATGAGTTTATGGATATGTATCCATTGTACCTATGAGTTACCTTTTCTCTGTTAATTTCTTGTGTTTTGTTCATCATACGCTAATCATTGTTTCTACTACTAGCTGTTTGCTCTCATATTCTTTTCAGAAGATGAGAGTTTTCAAAGAAACAACTGCTTTATTATTTGACGTAGAAGTCAGTCTGCATACATCTCATCCCTCTCATATCCTACGTTCAAGTGAGATTTACTATGTATGCTTGGTTTCTTTGTATTTTAGTTTATCAACTATGACTTTCATTCCATATTTTGATTGATCATTAACTTTCATTCCATATGGATGTGGTAAGATGGTGGGAAGGATAATGGACCATGAAGCAAAAAAAAGTAGAAATAATGGCTAATTTATCAAAGTTGAAAAGTATAGGGACTAAAATGTGTATTAGAGATATTACAGGGGCTGATGGTACGGTTTACCGAAAATGAGACCAAACGCCGTTTTCACTCCACTCCCTACTTCACCCCCATTAGCAATACTGTCTCTCTCCCAAAAACACACACTACTTCACATACATAAATCCATGGGATCTTCAACTTTAACGACAACAGTGGCAGCAATCTCTCATACTGTTCACTAATGAACAGCATTCATAGGCCATAGATCCTTTCTCCGTTTCACAAAACCCTAACCCCCAGATCTATGCATTAAGGACGAGGCTCCCGGAAGCACATCAATGGCACACAACTCCGGCACCACCAAACGTCCACAAACACCTGCTTCAGATTCTGATGTTCCGTCGTCACCTGCAATTCCCCCGTCATCCTGGGCCAAACGCACCGGCTTCCGCCCTAGGTTTTCCGGCGAGACCAATGCTAGTGATTCTGGTCAGTTTGCCAGGACGAATAACCCCTCTCCCGCTTCCACCCCCTCTCCTGCTCCACTTGATCTTGAAGCTGGTCGTGTACGCCCAATTTCTGCCGTGAACGGCACGGCGCCAACGCCGCAGCCGGCTAATGCACAGGTGCAGCTGCAATCTAACAAGGATCAGTCGGTGGAGAAAAGGACAGAGGCGGAGGGCAGTCCTGCACCGGTACCGCCGAAGCATGGTGTTAATGGACATGCGAGAATTGCTGCTGCGACTGAGACGCCGGCGCCGGCCCCCCCTCAGCCGAGTAGGAGGGCAGTGAGGAATGGGGATGTCGAAAATGTGTTGCCACAAGTGGTTGATGATGAATTGGTGTCTCGTCATTCGCATATGAAGTATCGGCTTAGAGACACACCTGGCCTTGGTAAATACTAATGTGTTTTTCACAGTAATTTGATGTTTCCATTTTTTTATTCACATTCAAAAGTTGTGATTTTATATTAGAATCTGATTCCATGGGGTAATCGTGTGGATTCTTCGTGTTTAAAATGAATGTGTGCCAATTATCTCGTTCTTTTTATCGTCCTAATGAATTGGTCTTCAGTGTTTAGGTATGAAATCAGGATTGACGAATTTTTTTTGTGGATTTGTTTTCAGTTCCAGTTGGGTTCTATGGATTCCAGCATTATCTTTCAATGCTGGGTTCATTGGTTCTAATTCCGCTTGTTATTGTTCCAGCAATGGGTGGCGACCATGTAAGCACTTGCAATTGATTTCATGTCAAATACAGTTGGGAGTGTTGTAATTGTTAGAATTAGTCTGATGGAGATTAGTGCTTTTAGGAGGATACATCGATTGTGATCTCGACGGTGCTATTTGTGTCGGGAATTACAACACTTCTACATGTCAACTTGGGATCAAGATTGCCCCTCATACAAGGTCCATCTTTCGTCTTTCTTGCTCCCGTGCTTGCAATAATAAAATCCCCCGAGTTCCTTGGACTGAATGGAAATGTAAGTTCACACTGCATTGAGATTGCGTAGCCTTCTATCGGCAAAGGAAAATCGTTTGTTACTTTGTTTTATCAACAAGACAAATTGATTGTATGAGTAGACAATTCATAACTTCATGTTGGTGAGCTGTGTTCCATGGGCCACCACCTTAGCATCATGATTTATGAACCATACTCATTTGTAGATGCATTTGATTGTATGCCGAAAAGAAGTTTTCTTGTTTTTGTCCTCAAGCTTTAAGCTTTGAAAATTCCAAATGGCTTTAATTTATCACCCCTCAAGCTCTTTGAAGGCTCTAAATAGGACCATGGTTATTAAGCCATGAGGTCCAACTAGGCCTTGTAAGCGCCTATGGACCCTGCACTAAGTTACGGAGCATGCCTTATGGAAGAAAGGCATATTTACGTAAATGATTGAACATAATTGAATGGTTATTGTCAACTAACTTGACATCTTTTTCATATTAAAATTGATGGTCATCAATTTGTCCAAGATAGACCCTAAAATTGACAATTATTTCAACACAAGTAATGCTTTCAGCATATAGCTTAGCAAAGTGAGTGAGATTGAGTGGTTTCCTTGGCATCAGGAAGTAAAAGCATAACCTTAGAAAAGAACAACTAATAGAAGCTTAAAGGAAAGAATTTGCCTAATAAAACAAGCATGTGGTTCTTGTACCCTTCTTCTAGCTTTGCCATTCTAGGTGAAATCCCGACACCTCTCGGGCTTTGGCACACTTTAGACAACTATGATAAGGGACAATTTACCTAAATAATATTTTTATTTTTGCAAAGTCAATGTTCTTTTTTCTCATATCCGCTATATTTTAGTTTTCACATAGTAGTTTTTGTGAACCTATCGAAAGAAAGAAGTTGCTTTAAATTTGTCTTACCACAAGCTGCTCTTTGCCCCTCTAAATCACGTGCCTCTATTGTAGTATTTATGGGATGTTATTTTTCTCTCGGACCTATGTTCCAGAAAGTGTTAACTTGAGCTATGCATTTGATTGACCTTCTATCGAGCGCTTAATCACCTGAGAGGGATCAAGCGAAATCATAAGCAGTTTATTTGATTATATATCTCATTGTTAGAAGGAAAGTTTATACTTCCTTTTCATTAAGCAAGGCACGAGCTGATGACAGCCATGCACCACCTGTGTAATACTAGATATGACCTCAAAATAACAGGGGTCAAGATCAGCCTAACTACTGCAAGAAACGAAGTCATGACTACTTATTGATTGACTCTGATGACAAGACATTTGATTTCTTTGCACCTTGTAACTTTCCCTCTTTTGACACAATTGCTTGTCATAATTCAGACTGTTTCACGGTGTAAAAACCTTGAATCCGTCTTACACAACCTATAATCTGGTGGGTTTTCTGTTTATTATCTACATAACTATGGAAACTATAATCTCCTCCACTCCCAAATGGGTTGTTGCATTTCTTTGTGCTGAAACTTTATCTTGTGGTGAAACTAATATTCCCGTTCATGAATCTTGCTTCTTGGTACTAGAGTTTCAAGCATATAATGAAGGAACTACAGGGGGCCATTATTATTGCATCAGCTTTTCAAGCATTATTGGGATACAGTGGACTGATGACTCTACTCTTGAGGTGAACCGCTTCACTTCATTTTTATTTCTGCTCATTTTCACTGTTTATCATTAGGTAGGTCGACGGTATGAATTTACATCAAACTTTTGTCCTGCTCCTCAGGTTAATTAATCCAGTGGTTGTGTCCCCAACTATTGCTGCTGTTGGACTTTCTTTCTACAGTTATGGTTTCCCACAGCTTGGTGCATGTCTTGAGATCGGCATTGTGCAGATTTTAGTTGTTATTATATTTTCTCTTGTAAGTTTTCTTAATGCTGCTAATAGGGAAAACATCCTGTAATTTATCTTATTTTCCTTTTAGAGTTCTAATTCACTTGTTCTCTAAGATAATAACTCCTTTATGTCTTTCAGTACTTTCGTAAAGTTTCCTTGTTTGGGCACCGTGTATTTCAGATTTATGCTGTAAGTAAACGAGTTTTATCTGTTTTTTAGTTTTGGAACTTTGAATCATGCGGCTTTAATTTGTGTTCATATATTGTGCACAGGTACCATTGGGTATGGCTATAACATGGGCCTTGGCTTTCCTTCTGACTGAAGCAGGGGCCTACAACTATAAGGGCTGTGATGTGAATATACCGACCTCAAATATGATATCTGATCACTGCAGAAAACATGTTGCCAGGATGAAAAGTTGTCGGGCTGATACCTCCCATGGTTTGGAGTCTTCTCCATGGTTCAGATTTCCTTACCCGTTACAATGGGGCACACCCGTTTTCAACTGGAAAATGACGATTGTAATGTGTGTGGTGTCTGTTATTTCTTCGGTGGATTCGGTAAGTTCCCTCTCGTCTGTTAAAGTGTCCCTTTTTTTCATCTTTTGATTTTGTTTTTGCAATAACAACAAGAACATGTTCCTTATTAGAAGTAGTTACTGTTGACTAAAATTAATACCAAAAGGAATTAATAAAGTAGTATGTGAACCTCCTATGCTGCCATTCTGCTATGTTATCTTGTGTGCATGTTTTTTGATATCCCGCTGTTCTCTCCTGTAAATCATAGCAAGTCTCAGCAAATTGTATAGAACTTACATTTCAGATTCAATTAACCCAATTCAAACGAACCCGGCATATGCCACCCTGGGGTGTGGGGAGGGTAAGATGTAAGCAGACCTGACCTCTATCCAAAAAAGTAGAGTGGTTGTTTTCATGAAGACACCCAGCTTGTGAAAAGTGTGACAAAGAGTCACATAAGATAAAGTTTTGAAAAGTTGGAGTAGAGCAAGCAGTAACATACAAAAAATAGGTACCAGAAAAGCATAACCAAAAATATGGTAACTACACACCGCTAGCCCACTACCCTAGTCTTGGGTCTCCAAGAGCTCCTATTTGAGGTCATGCCCTCAGAAATGCATAAAGCCGTCATGTCTAACTCAATGGCTCGGCCTTTACACTTTCTATCCTTCTCACTGGAGCTGCTAATGGTCTCCTATGCATGTGACCAAACCACCACACTTTTCCCTCCCTTGACTTATCCGTGATAGGTGCAACTCCTAGCACTGTCTGAAATACTTCGTTCAATATCCTGTCAAACATGGTTCTACACTTGTACGGCATGTCCTTCTAAGCATCCTCATTTTTGCAACTTACAATGTCCTCTCATGGGCCTTCCTTATTGGCCAACACTCCCAACTTTTCAGTTTCGATTGAACCCCACTATCCATGCTACAATCATTCACACTGTCTTTCTGTCAGGACATGCTAACAATGCTAGAGTTGAACCCAAAGTGGTTTCCCTTTTTTTTATCTTGGTTACTTATATGTACATTTTCCTAATCTTGTTTCTAGTTCCTTGTATACTATTATGTTTTACCTCTACTTTCTTTAACTGCTTTTCCATTTTCTAGTTGCAACCATTTAAGTATTTACAGAATACCTTCTTCCCTGGTGTAGAAGTAATCTCTCCTCCCATACCCTACTTTCGAGTGGGATTCACTGGGATCGTTTGGTTTGGTTTGGTTTAGTATCCCTCCTTCTCATTCAGTATATGAACGCGTTCCTTTAAAATTTGATCCTGAAAGATACTTGGATTATTTGCTATTTTGCCGTCTATTACAATGCCCATAGCTAAATAAAGCCTATGCTGTGCCACTACACATCCTTGGGTATGATACTACCATACACTTTGGTGATTAGTCAATTCCTGAACACTTGGTCTCATTTCGTATAGGTTGGTTCATATCATGCATCATCGGCGTTGGTGGCATCTAGACCCCCGACACCAGGTGTTGTAAGCCGTGGGATTGGTCTTGAAGGTCTGTCTAGCATCATGGCTGGTCTCTGGGGTACAGGAACAGGCTCAACCACTCTCACTGAAAATGTGCACACAATTGCTGTCACCAAAATGGGCAGCCGAAGAGCTGTTGAGTTGGGAGCCTGTGTTCTAATTATATTATCCCTCGTGGGTAAGGACTGATCTTARAAGGAAATCTTGCATTTATCTTTTTGGCTGCATACCAGTTGAAGTTGATCTTATATCTAACATTGTGTCAGGTAAAGTAGGAGGGTTTATAGCATCAATCCCGCAAGTAATGGTTGCAGGCTTGCTTTGCATTATGTGGGCGATGCTCGCAGCATTAGGATTGTCAAATTTACGTTACAGCGAGGCTGGAAGCTCAAGGAACATAATCATCATCGGGTTTTCTTTGTTTTTCTCCCTTTCTGTACCAGCCTACTTTCAGCAATACGGTCTCTTGCCAAATTCCAACTTTCCTGTTCCAAGTTACTTCCAGCCTTACATTGTCGCCTCTCATGGCCCGTTTCGCTCCCAATACAAAGGGGTATGTACGTTCCTCCGTTTTTCATTTTCTGTGGTTTTTCCCGGAACCCCACCCCTCTATATATCTATCTATCTATGTTTTTCCTGATGGTATTGTTTCATCTTTTTTTATAGCTAAATTATGTGATGAACACCTTGTTCTCACTTCACATGGTGATAGCGTTCCTAGTGGCAGTAATTTTGGACAACACGGTCCCCGGAAGTCGGCAAGAACGAGGGGTATACGTGTGGTCCGAACCGGAGGCGGCTCGAAGGGAGGCTGGCGTGGTTAAAGACTATGGGCTTCCATTCAGAGTTCGAAAAGTTTTCCAATGGGTGAGATGGGTAGGGCTTTAGAGTATTGTACATGAAAGTTTTGGTTTTGCCACGCTATGCAATTGCAAATGGCAGATTGGGGTTTCTGGTAGCTATTTTTTTCTCTTTTTTGGGTTGGAAATTGCAAGATTGTTGACTGTAAAGTGGTATGTATAAATATGGTTTTGACATGTAAATTGTAGTTCGATCAAATGGGTAGACATTTTTTTGTTGGTTTTTCTTTTTCAGATTATATATTAAGATACGATTAAAAAACGGAAATCAATCAAAATCTTCTCAACCAAATTCATTTTTTAGATTCTTGTTCAATCCGGAAGATTCCATAAACTCGATCCGGTAGACGCCTTTGCATAAACTTGATTTTTGGATTAAGAAAATTTTTACTCACATTTGCGTAAAGATTCCATCCAGAAGAGGCTTTTTACGCTCATCTCCTTCTCCATTTGGGTAACGATTCCCATTTGCATAAAGAGTATTTTTAATCGAAAGTGAATTTTGTTGGGAAGATTAGTCAATTTATCCCAAAAAATAATTATTAAAAGAATTCATATACTCAGAATAAAAAATTGTAATTTATTTTAAAAAATTGTAATTATAATACTTTTATATTGATTAAATAACAATACAACTAAAATTCATTACCTCTTTCCTTTAAAAATTTGCACAATTTATTTTTGGATTAAAATAAAAATATGAACAAAATTTATTTTAATAAATTTAAATAAGATGTAGGAAAATGGCGATGTGTAAGCTCCAAATTTGATTGCAACAAGCAAACACGAATTTAGTGGGTTTCGATTTGTAGACATGACACGTACAACACACGTTACCAAATTTAGTATCAACACCTCATTTATTTATTTACTTATTTCTGTAGTACCATTTTCACTCTAAAAACCAAATTTATGAGTTAAATATTTTTTTAATTATTTAATTAAATAAAATGGTTCATCAAGTGACTTTCACATGAGAGTTTTTTTTTATTAGTTTTAATTAAGTCAAGTCATACTATAAAGTAATAATCTAAAAAACAAGAACATGAAATTAATAATTTGACGAATAAAATACTAATACTCAATTGAAAGACTTTTCTAACCATAAGGGTGCTGTCTGATTGGTTTGAGTTTGGGTTCTAAAGTCAAAAGTGTCTGGAGGTTCAAGATTCGAATTCAAGGAGGAATAAAAATTCTCTTATGGCTACGGAGATTCAAATGCGGTGACTCCGGGCTATCCGCGAAGTGGATGGTCGCCCAAAGATTAGTCGGCTTGCATAGCGGGTTGGATATCCTCCAGGTTAGCAAAAAAAAAAAGAAGACTTTTGTTTAATGTCGTAGTAGTTTTTTTGTTGTAGACAATGTTGTACCATTCCTTGGTCTTCTTTTATTTCCGTTTCGCGCATTTCTTTTTCCACATGTACGATGCTTTTGCTTATCTCGAGGTTTTTACGTCTTGTAGAATCTATGTATTATTTTCTTGTTGTCTATTAAAAAAAATTGATTGAAATTGTACTTAAAAAGTTAACATCTGAAAGTGTGTGTTTATTTTTATCATATTAAAATATGTTTAAGTTATAGTGTATGTTTGAACTAAAAAGTATTTCTCGTTTGTCAAAATAAATTGTTGTTTATTTTGTGTGTTCAATAAACAAACGATATAAAATTACCATGTACATATCTGTCCTGATTAAGTGTTGAATGAAAAATATTATAAATAAAAATTCAAAAACGACAAACAAGTACCAATTTGTGAATTATTTAAGAGTAAATTACAGTTTTCGTTCCTATAGTATGTTGAAAGACTTTGTTTTCATCTCTCTACGACGACTTTTATTACAAATCTCTCCTTATGATGGGAATTGTGTTTTGGTTTTCATCCATCGTACGAAAGTTCATTATTGTAACAACTCTGGATTCTCGAGCAAATTTGTGCAGGAAAAATAAAAATAAATGCGGGTTTCAAACAGGTTGGATCGCATGAAAGTCGCATTTGTGACTATTTCAAAAATTTCAGTTTTGTTCCAAGAGCAGTTTGGGGATGTAACTTGGGTCCTTGTTTGAGGGGTTATTAATGGTTTAATTGGAGGTCCTTTTGGGATTTTAACATGTCTTTTGGTAATCCAAATCCAAGTGTTCGGTTAGTGTGATTCTAAATTAAGAGTGTACGTTTAGGTTTGGACTTCATGTGAATTTCATCTTGTTATTTTCTTACAAGACTACACTTATCTGTTATGTTGGAGTTGTATGTGATTTAAATTCACATAGTGTTCATCATTAAATGTGAAATGATTATTTGCATAATGTGAGTTATTAGTGTGAGTATGTACCTTTATATCCACTGCAACTCTTGAGATTATGTTGAATTGTAGACCATACTTGGGTATTTGTATTTGCCGGTTTGGGTAAAGGCTAGGGAGTACCTATTTTGGATTTACGATTGTTATACTTTTGCTTTAGTTTACAGGTTGGTTATTTAGTTGGTAAAAACGACCATGTAAGGTATTAGGCAAAAAATCAAACACCACCCCCCAAAATCACCATCCATTTTCCTCCAAATACTCCATCACTTCTTCACATGATCTATAACACCCATAAAAGTATAAAATAAATACGAAGGTATAAAATGAGACTTGGAAACTAGAATAAAAATTTACACCCAACAAGAAGTGATAGCAAAGCGTTTACATACAAAAAATATCGAGAAGATAAATAACAACCTACTAATCTAGGTTTTTCTACAACTAGATTATAGACGGGTGTTCCTATCAATCTCCAAAAATACAACATCTTCATTCGTAACGCTCAAACGTAAACAGGCTTTACTACAAAAGAGCCTCTTCACGTACCAACGCTCCTCTCAACCCATTTTGGCCCCACCGCTAAAGGAACCTGAATATTCAAACCATAACAAAGAAGTGTTAGGCTTACGCCTAGTGAGTTCAAACAATCACGCAAGGAAAACGGGAAATTCTTAAATAAAGTTTCATAAATTTACCGCCATTAAATAAAATAGCCAAATCGAGTTATTATAAAGAGGAGTCCAAAACATTTAATGATAATGGGGGAGACCCGTTTTACCGTTGATTATGACAGACACAAAGTAAGTCGTAAGTCAACGTTATAGAGCATCACGTATAGGTTTAAAACCATCGACATCAACCTAAACCAGTCATTTAGTCGATCGTGATCTTACGCCCTTTATCTCGGAAATTACATAATAATCACAATGCCTATTTCCGARTGGTAGTGAGAGGATGATTTGGAGGTTACATAATAATCACAATGCCTACCACCAACTTACACCATCCCTCACACAAAGTGTAAAAGAACAACTTTCAATACAAAAATTTACCACATTTCGATCAATTAGTAGGAAGCCAAGGTTAGGTATACATATGCATGAAATATCAATCCAACACCAAGAATGTACATGAATCCGCCATWTGAGAGGTATAAACCACCACCCATCCTTAACGAATATTTAGACTATACTTTAAGAGTAAAGGGGATCTCCTAACGTAAGATACCTTAGAGTTTTTAACATACAAGAAACTATAATTAATCATCATTTACCAATATTTCCTTTTCRAGTGTACTTAGGTTCTTAYGGCTCTCTAATTGGATTTCATATTTACCCTCTCCTAAAATTAGAATTCCTTAGGAAATCCTTAAATCTCAACATCTAAATAAGTTCTCAAGCCACCTCATATGAGTACATCATATAGCATATTARAGAATCKGATCCTAAGCCTATAGTGTTGTGACGAGTAAAATATATAATAGGATAGGATGAACTCACYACGCAAAGTGGACCACGCAGTAGCTCAATACAGCAGCCTCTTCTGTCACTGTTTGCTCGGAAAGGTACGGGAGAAGGACACGGCGAAAGTTGCTGTTTACCGCGTAGTCAACTATAAGCAGCAGAAAATAAATGGCACAGCGGTACCCGCTGTTTGCTGACAGTTGAGGCGAGATGGCACAGCAGCAAAATGCTGCTGTCTAAGGCGGCACGGCAGTGTTTGCTGCTGCCTAGAGTGGTCCTAACGGCTTCTGATTCGGTCCTTCACGCACAGTAATCCCSGCTGTGTGTCGCCCTCTGGTTCGGCTTCCTCCTCACACAGCAGCTACAACCCTYCTTTCGCACAGCAGTCACGGCTGTGTGCTGTCTTGCRGCTCGGTTCTCCCTTCACACAGCAGGTGCAGCAGGAACAACAGCTGCTGTCCCGTGGCCTGGCTTCTCCTTCACGCAGCAGGCACCACAACGTGCTTTCCCGTGGCTTGGACTCTCCTTCACGCAGCAGGCACAGCAGCCACGGCTGGGTTGATCTGCGGTACCGTCTGAAGAGGAGTGGAGACAGCAGGTTGTAGGGGATTCCACAGGTAGCTTAATTTCTTTTTCTCAACCTCACGTCYGATTACTAAGCTTCACCATTAACATCATCTTCTCTCCTTCAAAACTTATCCTCCCAAGGAAATCCAAATAGGGGGGGTAAGGACTTCAAGGGGAAAGGAGAACCCACAAGGAGAAAAGGTAAAATTGGCTAAGAGGAAGGTGGGTAGTACAACTCAGGACGCCAGCAGGTAACCCCCCCCCCCCTTCCCCCTAAAGTCATCATGACCACCTATAGACTAGAAGAGGTTGCAAGGCACACTTATAAAATCATATTTAATATAAATATAAAAGGAGGAGACAATTCAATTTAAGTAAAAAGGAGGTTAAGGGCACAAAACAGATCAAAGTTTTAGAGAATAATAAAAAAGAGAATCTCGGGT